AGGGTTAATTTGTTTCACCATGTATTTCACATCAGCTGTGAGATGGGCACGCATGGAGTCACATATGAACAGCGATGGTGATGAGTGGAAAAAAAAACACCTGGCCTCCTTACATTCAGCCACTCTTTCATCATCTCCTCAATGAGGTGGTCTCAAAAGTCGCAGTTGCAACACACATAGGGCGCACCGCACCAAAGGGCACACCGCACATTTTGAGGGGAAAAAAAGATGTTTATGTGCTTATAGTCGTGAAAATACGGTAATCATTATTTGAAAGTAAAAGATGCAGAAACCAAAGTATGCATAGACCCTAATGCAGAGGTATTCAGTTGAGCGTATGCAGGAAAGAGAACTAAGATGGTCTGATTCCCCAACTGAGCTGCAGATGTTTGCAACAAACCCTCACAGAGAAACTGTGTTTATTCACATTAATTACATGTGGACTCCAGTATGTAACTGAAGGTGTGTAATAAAAATATTTTCAATGCTCATTTCTCAAAGTATTTGAGTTTGCAATCAAATAAAAGAAATATAACTTATTGTGTTATTCAATTCAATTCAGTTCTGTTTATTTCTATAGCCCCAATTCACAACACATGTCATCTCAAGGCACTTTACAGTTCACCAGATTCCAGTCAAATTGATTCAAAGTTTTCTATTTAAGGAAAACCAGTTGATTGCATTGACTCATTGACTCGGATGTAATCCCTCACATTAAGCATGCTTGTAGCGACAGTGGAGAGAAAAAACAGGAAGAAACCTCCAGCAGAGCCAGGCTCAGTGTGAGCGGCCATCTGCTGAGGCCGACTGGGGTTTAAAAAGAAACAGAAGCAGAGATACAAAAGGCAGCTGTAAAAGGCGGCCCCGTCCAGGAAACACACAGCCAGGCAGACGAACTCAGAGCCAGCTCCCATGTCAGAGGATGAAGAGAGCACATCCAGCCAGTCACAGTCAGAGAAACAGGACTACACTGGAAAAACAGGGGGATCTCCAACATGTATAAACAAAGGTGTTGATGGCAGCAGCACAGCTGATATTTCTCTCCAGGATGGAGTCACAGCCAAACAGGAACAGACGAGGCGAAGCTAATATGAGAGAAAGTAGAGAGAGCAGAAAGTTAGGGATTGAACTAACAGATTCTGCAGAGTAGAAAAATAGAGATAGAATGATGAAATAGGGGTCCCTATGTCCTCCAGCAGTCTAGGCCTATAACAGCGTAACTATAGAGATAGCTATGAGGTGTTATTTTCTAGATTTTCTTAACAGAATATATAATTTTCTTTTGTCTTTGCTGTCAAACCAAAACAGCTATATATCTGCAACTGGAAATGTCCCATAATTGCTGTCCCAGTCGTTTTGTAAAAGACTGTTTAAAATGATAAACAGCATTGGGTATAAATAAAGGGAACAGCAATCCGGGGTTGACCTGCACTTCACCCGCATGGCTGCATCCATCCATAGAGAAATTATCCTAGGTCCTCCAGTACCAGCTGTTATTAGTGAAAATAAGATGGACGCCACCTAAAACAATTAAATGTCACAACATTCCTGATGCTGATGGTTACTTTGCAGATCTAGGATCTTTCTTTTGGGTTTGGAATGGCTGACCTGGGGTTCTGTGTCCAGTTAACGGTGCTGATTCTGTAGAATCTCTGGTTCAGAATATAGAAACCAACACATGATGAGAAGCTGTCAGAGTATTAGCCTCCTCTGATTGAAGCTCTGTGTTTTTATTCTGCATGTATCCTCCTGTCTTTGCAGCCTACATCCACTCCAACCAGATCATGGGCTGGGGGGAGAAGGCCATTGAGATCCGGTCCGTGGAGACGGGACACCTCGATGGAGTTTTCATGCACAAGCGAGCTCAGCGACTCAAGTTCCTGACAGAGAGGAATGACAAAGTAAGCATCTTGTCTCGACCCAGACCTCTTATATTCTCTTGTAGTTTTATTACTTTTTAGATTTTTAGAATTTTGTGTTAGCTTGTATTGAATTACGCTCTAATAACACTCTATGTTTACAAAACAGAATTCAGTGAAGGTTCAGTTCTTTTGTTCTATTTGGTTGAAGTCATTTTTTTCCCAGCTTTTATTGTCATTAAACTGTCGCATGTACAGAGCAATGAAATGAACTCTCTGCATTTAACCCATCCCCCTGGGGAGCAGTGTGGGGTTAAGGATCATTGCTCAGGGACCCAGAGTGGCAGTTTGTGGAAGTCAGGCTCGAACTCAGAACTCAGGATTCCAAGCTGCAATGCCCTAACTGCTAGACCGCCACTCCCCTTAAAGGCCGGAGTTCTGTCAGACCAGCATACCCAGTCAGATCAGCATACCCATAGTCAAAACATGTTTATCCCTTTAGGTTATCCCTTTAGTCCTGTAAAAAAAAATTATTTAATGGCTTACTTTTAGGTGTTTTTTGAAGCGTATGGTGATCTGACCTTAAATAGTTTTTAATGTACATGACTAAAGGGATATATGCCCACTGAGGTACTTTAGAGTTTTTCATTCAAAACTAAAAAGATAAACGCAAATCTGCCTTTTTGCGCTTATGATTAACTATGGATATGCTGACCTAACAGAACACTGCCACTCCCCCTTTAATGATCTTAAATAAAACAGCTTTTTTGCTGTTGGTTGTAAGGAATAAACCTGAGGGTTCCCTCTGTTCTCTGCAGGTCTTCTTTGCCTCGGTTCGCTCGGGAGGCAGCAGTCAAGTTTTCTTCATGACCCTGAACAGAAGCTCCATGATGAACTGGTAACCCGCCTCCTTCTTGGAACCACCACCCTTTTGCAAGAGGGATGACAGGAGGACAGTGTCCGTGCGTGTTTATATGTGTGTGTGTACTCATGGACGACGGCGACAACAAGCTGCTGACTGGACTGCACATCTGGAGGAGGTGTTAAACCCCTGCAGGAGGCGCTGCGGGTCCTGTGGTTGGCGTCAGTACCTGCAGACCAAAGGTGACCCCACATGTCAGCGGTCGGCGCTTTGGCCTCCACCAGGGACTGTTGGACTTGACTGATGGCTGACCTGACAAGTAGCCTTTGAGTAGGGAAGCCTTTTTTTGTAGCACATCAGTGACTTTCAACCAGGGTGTTCACACTGCGAGTATACAGGTGGTTCACGGCCATGCAGGCGTGTCTGCTGCAGCAAAACCTCACTGTTGTAGTTGTAGTGAGTAAGCAAAGTAGCATTAGACATAAAACTCACTTGAGAATGAAATAATAAATGCACACAATTTTAGAATCATGCTGCTTTGATCATTTCTGTTTTATTAGATCATGTGTGAATCAAACACGTGAAGAAATCAACACCTGCAGAGTTTGGACATTTTTTTTTTTGCTTCAGTTTTAGGATTAGAAATGCACAACTTTAAAAAGCAACAAATAAAAGGCAACAGAAAACGAATTGACTCAGAGCGCCTCCTGATTGAATTTGACAATCTTAATAGACAGTGAGAGGAAATATTTGACCATAAGGTGAAAACAGGGCCACAACATTTCACTGTTTCAGCCATAGATTGAATAAATCCTGCTGTATTTTGTTCAAGCTTAAACTCTTAAAAGATGGGGGGGAAAAAACAATCAAATCATGACAAGTGGCTTTTTACTGCTCCTGCTGCCTTTTTTAAGCTTATTAGCTCTCATGCCTCAAGGTAAAGAGCTGCCAAAGCCGCAGTTTTCAAGACATCCGTCTGATGCTGACATGCTAAATTTAAAATGGAATTGCTCAACTCAAAATATTCTCCAAACAGATCAAATGTAACATTTGAGACTTTTAAAACCAAATAATATTTTTATCGTATTCTATAATAAAAAGGCGCAAAAATGCCTGATTTTATGTTTCTGTAAAAAGTAGTGTTGCACCAATGCCATTTTTTGGCCCCGATACCTGGCTGTGCAGTATCGGCCGATACCATCTGTTTCAAATTGATGTGTGTGTAAATATGAAGAACTGCATACTAATTGGATGTAAATAATTGCCATCATGGCTTTGTCAAGCTGCTTCCTACCTTTGTGAAGCAGGAAAAAGACTAAAACAAAGTGAATCCAGTAGAACTTTTTATTACCTACCTGGAATGGGTGACAATAGTTGAATAAACTTTTGGCTCTGAGAATGGTATCGGTGCTCTATTTGTTGGTACTCCCCGATACCGATACCTCCATTTTAGTGCTGGTTCGGAGCCCCGCCTGATACGGGTATCGGTATTGGTGCAACACTAGTAAAAAGTTTTTTTTTTTTGGTTGACTGAAACATTTCCAATAACTCCCGAAAAAAACTCGCTGTGAACCTTATTCATCTTAAAAGAACATTTGTACAACTACTCCACCCAGTAGTCCTGATGAAGCTGTTAAAAACACTGTTATTTTTAAAAGTTATGCATTAGAAGAATCTACTGTAACACCTCAGTGGTTCATTTTACCACTGAGGTGTTACAGTAGTGATACATGTGCTAAGAGAGCCAGAATTCACTTTAAAATCCAATATGGCTGCCCCATCATAAAAGCTTTAAAAAAAGACAAAGGAAATCTCTCTGTGTGACTTTAAAATCCCGTATGGCTGCATATGGATTTATGATCAACTGTTTTTATTTTCTTTAAATATAGCATTTTAAATGCCACTATAATCACATTTGATGAATTTTAATGCCAATTAAGGCCTTAATTTCAAAAATAATTATTTAATGACTTTTAATGATTTTTAATGACTCACAGAAACCCTGCTAATCATCGCTAGCTAGGCTACTAAGCACAACCCTTAGCAAACCCCACCTATTTCCCAGCTAGAAACTGGAAAATATTTGAGACATTAAAGTTCATATTGGCATCTATGCAAACAAAAAAACCTTATAACCTTAGAAAAAAATACTTTTAAATTAGGGTTACCAACCGTTCCTTGAGAAAAGGAATCGTTCTGTATTTAGAAATAGAAGTATCTGTCCCATATTTAGTGGAAAAGGAACGCACTTTGTCCAGTTTTACTGTGAGAGTAAAAAAATAGTCAGTAAAAAGCTAATGCAAAATGAATAACAAGGGCACTTTAGATACAAAATGGTAAACTTGTTCCCGGGCCCTGTCCTGCGTTGTGACCAATGAGCTGACAACATACATTTAACAATCCAGAATACCCTCATCCCATTGGTGGATCCAAGTGTTGCTCACGGAGAAGATAGCGGGAGACATTAGAGCATTATGGGGGATGAATGGAGTAATTTAAATGCTGACGCTGCTTTTGGGGGCAATGCACCTTCGCATTGCAATGCTCGTCCTCCGAGAAAAAAAGGATGCAGAAATTTAGGGAGGAGTAGGAAAAACAAAAACCTGGGTGGAAAAAGTAATATGAATATATAGCACACTGCAAATATGCATCTAATTCAATGCAGATTTGGTTCAAATAGTTAAAAGAATAATTTCACACAGAAAGGGGGCTAAAAAAAATCACCATGCCAGGAGGGGTAAAGGTTATCAGGTCAGCTGGCACGCACATGGGGTGTCCCTTTTTTTTTAGGGAGTTGGCAACCCTATTTTAAATTCTGTCTGTCAAGTTAATTCAGTCACAAAGTATACAACTTCTGATCAAAAGCACTTTATTGCAATTTTCGATTGCATTAAAGTGCTACCACATTGTAATGGCTTTTTTTAAAACATAATGGTAGAGCCTAATTCAGGTCATTTTCAGAATTAAATTTAAAAAAATGATTGCATAAAGGGTTGGCCTCGTGGAAAAGTTGAAAGCACATCATTGTTGCATTAGTGAATCGTTTTTCTCAAAATAGCTTCTCAAGGTGTTTTTAACTTGGTTTTGTTTCATTATGTTTACAAACATGCAGAAGACACTAAATAATCTGAAAATTAAAAAACCAAGTGCATTTAGAAATACACCTCCTATCTGCTCCAAATAAAAAAACTCAGTGTAGCTTTTTGGGTTTTAATGACTGTTTTCAGTGGCTCCATGAGGGAAAGCATGCATGACACACAAATAACAAAACAGCAGGAATTTTAAGGTCACCAATATGAAATGCTGTAGATTTGGTCTGCAAGCTTGGGTTTATATGCAGGACATGTAAGGAGCTGTACTGACTCCTCTAAGGAGCCCTTGCTCACAGTGTGAACACACATATTGAGTGATGCTGCTGAAACATCTGTCTCCTCTGAGAATATGAGAACAATCCTTCAAAAAAGCAATGACTGTCAGCTGGAGAAATGAGAGATTTAACACCTCATCGCAGACAGTCTGCAGGCAGCTGCCACGGCTGTTTGTCTGGTTTCTGACGGGGAAGGAAGGTTGTAGATATTGTACTATTGCTGCAGCAGCAACACAATGACGAAAATCTTCACGTCTTTTCTCCCCTGGAAGAACTCGTCCGTAGAATAGTTGCCAACCTCTGGAAGATTTCATTTCTCCTGCCTCATGTTAGGAACATGTTTTTTTTGTTTTTTTTTCCAGTTTCAACTCTTCTGCTTGTTCATCGCTTTTGTAAATACTCACAATGACGTAAAGGACACGTTTGTTTTTTGCAAAGGAGATAAAAATCAAAATGGATTCATTATTTTTTGGGGGGATTGCATAATTCTTTAAACCATTCTATTATGTGGTTCCTTCAGAATGGGACTTTTTTCACAACAGTTCTTGGAACTAAAAGTTTATTTTCTTTCTGTCATGGCTGTTAATTTAGTTTGCATGAAGACATACATGTTGAACCGTCTTCACTTGTTATGAATTGCAGGTTTGAGGCAATACGCTTGTTGGTCTTTCAATAGAAGATGGACGAAATGTAGGCAGTTTGTGTTTTTTTTAAGTTTGATAACGGTAACAATTGTACACTGGAGAATTACGCGTAATGTCAAAATTTATTATTAATTTAGGTTTGTAAAAACCAGACAGGTGTGTAGATTATGAGGTGGAAATCAACTCCCTGAGGACTGTAAATTCTGTATTTGTTAGAAGAAAATGGTGCATCTTTTACTTAACTTTCTTAAAGGGTGTGATAAATGTGGAGCAAAGGCAGTTTGAGGCCAACTGAGGCCTTTTAAACGTGCAGGATGTTTGGGTGAATCATCAACCTTTGAATAAAGATCAGGAGGGAAAGTCTTTCAACAAACAATAGATGAAAAGATATTTATACTGTAATAATTTACATTATGATAATATCTTACTGATCATTTTAGAGGACATAGATAATGTTCACTTATCGAAGCTTAGTTGTCTTTCTACTGAATAGAGAACATAGCTAATACTGTAAGGATTTCTAAAAAAAAATGTTTTTATTGTGGTATTATTTGTATTTCAATTTTTTGTATCAAGACTGTGAACGTGTGTGCGACTGTGTGTCTGAGTGTGCACCTGTGTGCACAGGTGTGTGAAATGCATGTGAGCGAATGTTTTCACTTCACATGAATCACTGGAATCAGTCAGAAGAAGATCTTGGTCCGATAACACTCACTCTGTGATGTTTGGAATCTACAATAAATGTCCTCTCCTTGTATAGCAGAAAAACACGCAAGCTGTTCTGCTTCTCTTTCTTCATACATCCACATAATGTTTGTCACTGATAAACGAGCATATATGATACCCAGTAGTCCAGTTGTAAAAAAATAAAATAAGGGGGGATGGAGAATTTTATTTATTTTTTTTTTTGGAAGCATAAATAGCCTAATTAATATATTCTATTAACCTAAAGCAACATGCTTGGTACGGTTGTTACATGTCAGGAACGCCCGTCATTGAACTTTGTCGAGGCACCTTACAGTAGCACTGCATTCAGTCCCTATAAATGAATATCTTAATCCTTTCTAGTCAAGTTTTTGTTTTATTCAAATTCAATTAATTAAATTGAAACAGCTCAA